GTTCAACAGATGGGTGTCCCCCATACATGCGTTGGACTGATCATCAAGTACTGTGTACGATTCTATGAATCGTGTGGGGTTGGATTGTTTGTGGACCTTTGCTAAAACTATTTTGCCACACGAACGTCCAGCTGTGCACTTAATAAGTTCTGTGCAATTTGATGTTACTGTTTGAGCTCCGTCAGTTTTCTTTGGTTCGGTTTCTGCACCATGTTTAGTTGTGTCACCAGGCTTGTGTAGACAGGTTATGTGTTTGGTGCTCTGACAGATACCACACTTGATGCTTGAGTTGCGAGGTGTTTCTGTGTGCACCTAAAACGCAAGCCTTTGATCTTGCATAGATCGAACCGTTCATTTATGGGCTGCTTAGCAAATGCCTTACAGTCGGATAAATCATGTCTGGTTACTTCATGGTATACACATTGTTTAACACCTTCAGACGACTTTGTAGCGTGTACACGTACAGTTGTTCTCTGGATTGGTCTAGTATTCTCTGATGTGAAGTTGCTAGGTTTTGGAATGTCAGGATCGTTCTGTGATCTTGCAACATCTTTCATGTAGGAGGCAAAGAAACTGAATGGTGGGAATGTTCCATGCCTTAGTTTGTATGTTGATACTTTATCTCTCCACTTGTTGACAATAAATTACGGTAATTTCTCAATTATGGGATTCAATACACGAGGAGAATTCAGTGTGTTTAGATGTGGGAGTTCTTTCATATGAGCTTCAGTATCTATGCATAGTTCTACCAGGTCACGTAGTCTTTGAGAGTCATCAGCTATAAATCGTGGAAAGGAAGTTAACTTTTTTTTATAATAACCTCCATGATTACTGCTGAGTTGCCAAATCTCTCTTCTAATTCCTTCCAGGCTTCTATGCAGGCAGTGCTGGTATCTCGAACATATCTTAGACGGAAATTGTCTACCAATGTTTTCAGCTCTCTAGGAATAACAATTTCTCTGATGTGGACACACAAGTGTTTGCACCATACATTCAAATGACCGGCACCAGGGTAAAAACATGACTGGGTCCCCTTCGTATATCTCTGGCTCCTGTACAGGTAAACGTTGACGAGCTAGAAGACGAATGTAGTGGTTAGGATCTGGTTGAGTTTGATTGTTAACCTCGGTTGAGGGTTGGTTTGACAGTCTGGGGCTGTCACTTCCAATTAAATTTGCTATGAATGTGGCTTGATGTTAGTTAGATTGTGTGGAACACCCAAGATGGGTTCTTGTTCTGAATGTGGAGCCTGTGAACCTGCATTGTGTTCAGTACGGTCACGAAAACGTTGTGCATGATCGTTTGCCGACTCTAGTGGTGAAGTGTACATTTGTCGACAGTTGTCTTCTTCTACAGCTCTTTGAAAGGCCTCAGCGGTCGCTAGTGTGATGGCTGCTTTCTTTTCGGCTTCTAAGATTTTCATGTGTGGTATATACTCAGCTTCTCTGGCCCTATAGCTGGCTTCTTGTTTAGCCTTTATTTTCTCATATCCAGCTGCCTTTGCATTTGCGGCTGCTTCAGCATTGGCTCTGGCATATGCAGTGCTGAGTATGAATGACGTTCTGGACTTGATGGAACCCGAAATAGATAGTGTATGACCACGTGATAGCTTGATAGAAAGAGTGCGATCTAGTCGTCTGATTGATATCTAATTGATTTCAGAATCAATGTTTTGCATATTTCTAAGGTATATCGATTCCACGTATGCCATGTGGTCTCTTGTTTCATCTGAGCTATCGAGTTCATACAGGGTGGTCAAACGTTTCCAGGTGTCTTGGTATTGTTTGGTAAGGTGTTCAATTTCTGCTAATGGTGTGTCTGATGATTCTGTTGACACATGCAAGTTTGTTAGGGATCGTTTCAACCTTGTCCATACTGCTGCCATGCTTTTTTCTGCATCGGTAGTAGCATTAATCAATGCTTTAATTGTAATTGAAAATTTGACGTTGAAAATATTAAAAACATTGTAAACACACACAAAATACACATGTACACAATAAAACACTCTTACAAGGACATAAATGTGTCATTGAAGTATTTATTGATGGGGCATTTATAGATTAATGCAACCAACTTTATGCAAATAGTATTGAGTGAAAAGAAATTCAACTATAACCTGGGACTGAAACTGGGACTCGTGAGTAAAAAATATAGAAATATTAACTTGGGCCCAGGGCGATATAAAGATTTGTCGAACAAAAGCAAGCATTGTTGACCGAAGCGAAGCCGTGGCTGGGTGAGTATTTGTATTATCATACCAATCGAAACACCATTTTGTAAAAGGCTGGATTGCAAGATCTCTCCTACCCAAGTTTTCAATGACAGCATCCAGAATTTTCTCCATTTTTTAAAATGGGTGTCTAAGAAAGCGCCTCCTAAAGTGTTGTGATGGTGAACACTTCATTAAAACATGTCCCCAGTTGAGACACTATTCCACGTGTCGTGATCATAAACTTTTTAGTGAAAGCACTTTTCAAAATGCTTGCCTGGTAAAAGCACTTTTAACATCCTCTGATAATAAGCACTTTTCAATACGTGTTTCTGGTGGAAACACTTTACATATGGTGTTATATGCAAAAGCATCCCCAAAATGTTGCAAATAAAAACACTGACTTACAGGTGTTTTCATCATATACACTTTTTATAATTATACAGATTTAAGTGTTTTGCCACCACACAGTAACAATGTTTTATTTTAACACAGTAGTGTTGAAATATAACTCGTTTGCGAATTAAAAAAAACACATTAAGTGATTTTAAAGTGCGGAAAATGTTTCAAATTGTAAAACACTTAGATTTACAGTGCACGAGGCTGATGACCGCCATTTCCAGCACATTCTTTCCGTATGCAAAAAACAACAACAATTTTATTATTAAAACGTACCTTTAGGAATAAGAACGTCAAATTCTTTGGACCAGTATATTGCATCCTCCACTGCAGTTCGGTTGTTTATTCTCAGATTATATCGTCGAGTTGGCAGCGTATTAGTTACGCCTGTGTTTCCACACGATGCTCCATGGTATGCAACTTTGTACCACTGTTCATTTTCTGGTTTGTCTTTATATTCCTGATTTGCATTTTGTCTTGTGACATCTGATTGATTTCTTTGAGTTCTATCAAGTCTGTTACTGCCATCCTTCCCAGTCCTCGTAAGTGTTTCCTTCACATCTCCTTGTTGCCGAGTAACAGGATTCCTATTAAGTTTATCATCTTGTATTGGATTTGCATCATGTATGGGTTCAGCATGTGCGTAACGCACTTCCCCAGAATTCATCTGGTATGTGTACAACACTAAATCAAGCACTGCAAAAGCGACTGCAGTAACTGTTATGAGCACAAACCATGCAGCTTTCAGACGAAACACCCTGATTATTATAGTCATGATTGTAGATATATTAATACATATCTACCCACAACATGTATAGTACAGTAAAAGTAGAGGTTATTGTTGAATAATGCCAGATTAAATCATTACAGCTGGAACAGCGCCACACAAAGGCAGTGGTACAATGTTTTTGTTTTTCAACACTGTTCATATGATGCTAAACAAATATACTAGTATTTGTAATAATGAAAATCCGCCTGGGTGAATGTATTTTTTTAGCTTTGATCACTGCTGACGGTTGTTTGGATTATAATTTTTTCTACTGGGTTAGGTAAGACTCAAACTGGAACTCGTGAGTAAAAAAATATAGAAATATTAATCCAGGCTAAGGTCGATATACAGATTTGTCGAACAAAAGCGAGCATTGTTGACCAAAGCAAAGCCGTGGCTGGGTGAGTATTTGTATTATCATACCGATTGAAACACCATTTTGTAAAAGGCTGGATTGCAAGATCTCTTCTACCCAAAATTTCAATGACAGTATCCAGAATGTTCTCCATTTTACAAAATGGGTGTCTAAGAAAGCGCTTTCTAAAGTGTTGTGATGGACATTGGTGAACACTTCATTAAAACACGTGTTGTGGTCATAAACGCTTTAAAAATATGTGTAAATGAAAATAGTATATCTGCCTT